CAAGAGGGTTTTAGCCGATCGGATGCTAAATTTAAATATTAAATATTTAACCGAATACATTAAATCTTCAAAAGCCTAAAAGGCTTCACACAACGTCGCTCTTCAAAGTAAGAATTTAGATTTCATCTATTGTTTATTAGAGACAAGTACTAAGAATACAGTTAACGTGGGCATTTCACAATAACAAACTGAATCGAAACTTTTTTTTTTTAAATTTAATTTTAAATGGCAAATTTGAATGGCAAATTCGCCTGATAAAAAATAAGTCCCAATTTATGGATAATAAACTGCAGTCGAAGCAGAAATAACAATATTAATTGTGCCATACTGGAGAGAGTATCTTCTGCAGATCAATCTGAAACACTGATTCTATATCAGTGTTTCTCAACCTTGACAATTTTAAGGCATGTGGACTTCAACTCCCAGAATTCCACAGCCAGTATTGCTGGCTGTGGAATTCTGGGAGTTGAAGTCCACATGCCTTAAAATTGTCAAGGTTAAGAAACACTGTTCTATATGAAATGTGCTCTGAATATTTTGTATAGCCCTAACGTGTGAGTGATCGCTGACATTTTTGTACCGTTTTTGCTTTCTAACAAGAAGCAACAAAATGGAGGAACATTAACGAGTAAGGTTGGCTATGGGTAGTCTATTTCACCCTGGAGTACCTATATCCAAAGCTGCTGTAACTTTGTTCATAACCTTGCATGCTAGCCAAACATTAAAATGACAAAAAATGCACTTACCGCGGCAATATTCCATTAAGATAAGCACCTCCCACACATTATCACTAACAGAGTTGACAGCACAATCCAAATACCCTACAATGTTCTTGTGCCCAGACAGTTCTTTCTGTAAAAAGAGAAACATTCTTAAGTATAAAGAAAAAAAAGAATATGCTACTTTTAAGATCAAACACAAAAGTAACTCTACTACAAACTATCAATGCAAACTATTAATCACCAGTTAATTATCTGATGATGTATTAGACATTTTATAAATATTTGTTTCTTGTTATCTCCTTGAATACAGACTCTCACCAATGTGATATCTGAAATAGAATAGAATAGAGCTGGAAGGGACCTCGGAGATCTTCTAGTCCAGCCCCCCGCTCAAGCAGGAGAATCTATACCATCTCAGACAAGTGACTGTCTAGTCTCCTCTTAAAAACCTCCAGTGATGAAGCACCCACAAATTCTGAAGGCAAGCTTTTCCACTGGTTAATTGTCCTCACTGTTAGGAAGTTTCTCCTTAATTCCAGATTGCTTTTCTCTTTGGACAGTTTCCAACCATTGTTTCTTGTCCTGCCCTCTGGTGCTTTGGAGAACAGTTTGATGCCCTCTTCTTTGTGGCAGCCCCTAAAATACTGGAATACTGCTATCATGTCGCTCCTGTTTCTTCTTTTCTTTAGATTAGCCAAACCCAAGTCCTGCAGCCGTTCTTCATATGTTTTAGTCTCCAGGCCTTTGATCATTTTAGTTGCTCTTCTCTGACCTTTTTCCAAAGTCTCAATATCTTTCTTGTAGTATGGTGAACAAAATTGGTTGCAATATTCCAGGTGTGGTCTTGAAATAGATTAATCTCTCCTAAATCTCTCCTAAAGTGCTAGGTTATATTAACAGATGGATAGAATCAAGATCACGTGAAGTGTTAGTACCACTTTACAATGCCTTGGTAAGGCCACACTTGGAATACTGCATCCACTTTTGGTCACCATGATGTAAAAAAAATGTTGAGACTCTAGAAAGAGTGCAGAGAACAGCAACAAAGATAATCAGGGGACTGGAGGCTAAAACATATCAAGAACGGTTCCTGGAATTGGGTATGTCTAGTTTAATGACAAGAAGGACGAGGGGTGACATGATAGCCATGTTCCAATATCTCAGGGGCTGCCACAAAGAAGAGGGAGTCAAGCTATTCTCCAAAGCGCCTGAAGGCAGGACAAGAAGCAATGAATGGAAACTAATCCAGGAGAGAAGCAACCTAGAACTAAGGAGAAACTTCCTGACAGTTAGAACAATTAACCAATGGAACAACCTGCCTCCAGAAGCGGTGAATGCTCCAACACTGGACGTTTTTAAGAAGAGACTGGACAGCCATTTGTATGAAATGGTATAGGGGCAGGGATCTTCAAACTTGACCCTTTTATTACTTGTGGACTTCAACTCCCAGAATTCCTCAGCCAGCGTGCCTTCAACTTGTGGAATTGAAGTCCACAAGTCATAAAAGGGCCAAATTTGAAGACCCTGCTTTAGGATTTTCTGCCTGAGCAGGGGGTTGGACTAGATAACCTCCAAGGTCCCTTCCAACTTTTATTATTATTATTATTATTATTATTATTATTATTATTATTGTTGTTGTTGTTGTTGTTGTTGTTGTTGTTTTGTTGTTTTGTTGTTTTGTTGTTGTTGTTGTTGTTATTATTATTAAATAAACCTACAAAACTTTGTGTTATCTATTACTGGCTTAGAATCATTATTTATTTCCTCATATCAAAGAACCACATGTAAACACAATGAAAACAAATTCAAACATTAGACCACAAACTAATGCATGCTTTCTAAACAATCCCCACCCACTCACTTATACCCACATCACAAAACTTATATTAACTTACCATTATTGTTATTTCCCTTTTGCAGATATTGAGGTCAGGCACATTATTTACATACATNCCGTGGAAAAGCCACCTACAAGAACAGTGCGATGAGTAAGTTCATCTTTTTAAGTTAAGAAACTAAAGTTTATTCCTTAAAAAATCATTCAGATGATCAATATTCTTGAATGCTTCCATTTAGTAGACTTATGTGAAAATCTGCTAGGAGATATGCAGTAAAGCAGAGATCCCCAACCGTGGCAACTCCCAGAATTCCTTAGCCAACCAAGCTGGCTGAGGAATTCTGGGAGTTGAAGTCCACAAGTCTTACAGTTGCCAAGGTTGGGGACCCCTACAGTAAAGGACAAATGCCTAGTATTTTCACATTTCAGAATTTCATTTATTTAGAAAGAAGGAATTCAAGCAGTCTAATGAATCTAAACCTGGAAAGCCAATATATCTAAATAATCAGGGAAGGAAGGATTTTTTTATTCAAAAAGTAACTATTACTGTAAACTCTGCAACTTCACAGAAACTTCTGCAAACATCCTACGAAATGTCAGAACTTTGCTTCACAGAATGGTTTACACAGGGACAAACAGAAACGCTTGAAAACAGTTTTAGAAACATTTAATGATGCAGCTGAAGTTAGTACAAACTAGAAAAACAAAACTTCACAGCATAACTCAACCGCTGTACATTTCAAATTTTTGTTCCACAATATAGCTTTTACCAGTTTTAAATATTGATCTAGTTCAGTGTTGCCTTGTAAACTTTTAAATACTTCATCTAGTTTTCTTGCCCTCAAAAGCAAATCCTCTCTGAATATATCCTGAATGCTTTTTTTTTTTAAACTATAAATCGCCCCCAGTCATTTAGGTGAGATGGGCTGTGTAGAAATATGATAAATGGGATGGATGGATGGATGTTGAGTTCCCGAGGTACCACATCACTTGTAAGACGAGCAAATCAAAATATGGATGCAGGTAGTCCTCAACATGACCATTCATTCAGGGACTATGGAAGTTATGGCAATTCTGAACAAAGGGACTTACAACTGGTGCCCAAAGTTACAGCCATTGCAATGTTCCCACTGTCACATGATCAAAACGGGGGCACTTTGCAGCCCACCCACACTTAACGATTGCAGGGGTGCTGCCGTTCCCCCTCATCTGCCTGTCTACCCCCATCTACGCCCTTTCAGCTCCTTGCACTCCATACCTCAAGCCCCTATCTGATTTTTAATCGTCTTTCTTGCTCCCACTACTGATCAAGAATGCATGCACGGTCGGCTCCTTTGCATGGCGGCTTTCTTCCCAAGGTTGTACAGGTGATTTCCTTGCAAGACCTTGCAAGATGGCCTCTTGTGGTTTCCTCACCAAAGGGCACGTTTTGTCAGCAGCAGGAGGAAGAAAACAACAAAGCTCACCCAGGGTAGTGGAGCACATGGTGGCAGGGGCTTCAAAATGCAAGGTGATGGTAACGATAGCAGCTGGGACTGGGCTGGCTGTGGACAAGCATACCTAATACTTCTATTTTCCCCATAATAACAACCCTGTTAGGTGGGTAGGACTGAGAGGCAGTGACTGGCCCAAAGTCACCAGCCAGCTTTCATGACTAAGGAAAGCCTCGACGTCTGGTCAGCATCTTAAACTCTGGACACCAAACTGGCTGTCATTTTGTGGCACTTGAATGAACCTTTATTATCAAAGTACAACATGGGTACAATGAGATTGGCTGAGCCTCCCTCCGTGCCCCCCTCCAACACAACTCACAGTGACAACAAACCCACCAACGTATTACACCATGTAAGCTAATTGCACAACGCGCCGGCCTCACGAGTCTCTCATACATAAAGTTATTTCCCGTTCAAGAGCCTGACAAGCCCATGGATAGAAGCTGTTCTTCAGCCTGTTGGTACGGCTGGCTATACTTCTATATCTCCTACCACCCTATCAGAATGCAAATTATATTAACACAAGCACATATGCTAAAACACCTAATTATTCTTCAAAAGAACTTTTGCAATAAACAGGAGCTACTCTAAGAACTGACTCTGTAGAAAAAAAGAGTACTCCAGCATCACCGAGGGCCGAATAAGTCCAGGTTGAACATTCTCACGTAGCTTTTCAATTTAAACAACCAATACTGCATATTTTTTTAAAAACTGGATCACTATTTTCACCATCACTGAGAAACCAATGAGTGTCTACTAAACGAAGCCTGAAACTACTGAAGCACAGATTGAAGCAAGTATTCCTTTGCCATTAGATGGCAACATACCCTAGCGCCTTTTAAATCTATCACTGTTCCAGATAGTAAACTGTAATATCCTGTAATAAGAGTGCGATTATACTAATGTTTGATTATTTCCAACATTTTATTTATTCAAGATTTGAAGAGAAGTTGTTGACTGGATATAAAGCAAAATGTGAGAATAAGATTTGCAAGTCTTCTATTTCACAAAAGTCCTCACTCAGCATATGTGGGCATGTTCATACCCTTAAATCCTTCTCACTATAAAACCTTGACAAAATTGCCATGCTTTATGGAGCAGACTGGAATGGGAAATGAAGCACCTATCTGCAACCTTTTAAAACAGATGCATCTCCTTCTGAAATGGCACAACTATCATGCAATCCTAGAAACAATGCAAGCTAGAAGTCATAGTAATGCATTTCAAAACACTGCTTTGAATCAAAACTAAATCCTACCATACAGTACAGTACATTTAGAGTACAATACAGAGATTATGGACAAGTCTCTGCACGGTTTCTTGGCAGAAGTGGTTTGTCACTGCCTCCTTCCTAGGGCTGAGAGAAAGTGGCTGGCCCAAAAGGTCATTCAGCTGGGCTTCATGCCCAAGGTGGGACTAGATCTCACAGTCTCCCGGTTTTTAGCTTGATGCCTCAACTACTACTACAAACTAGCTTTCACAAAAGGAGCTTATAAATGCTAGTAAATTCAAGCCATGTGAACATTTTTCCTAAGTCTATAAAGAATTATGGGAATTTCACATCCCAAAATTATTGATCCCTACAACCCCTCACCAGTGTTCTCTCATCAATATTGCATTCCAAAATAAGATTCCCATGAATACAGTTTCTAGAAAAATAACTACTTACATCTTTTACAGAAAGAAGGGACTTACAGAGCTTTAAAAGACTAAGTTTTATTTTATCCAATTTTTTGTTATCAGATGTCCACTTTATGTGTGTTGAGTCCCAGTTCATAAAATCTTATAACATAACACAGTCGTTAAAATGTACTATAACATGTAGTTTTCTATAAGTGAATGTATTCTAAATCTTTCAGCTTATTGCCTTCCTTCTTTTCATGTCACTCCCCAATTTCTTTTTAAATTTTGCTGCCTTAATTCACAGGAGTACATTTTTGAAAAACTGGAAAAGTCATAGTGACAAAAGAGCATTTTTCAAAATCTTACACGATGTTTTTCTTTTTATCTAAAACATGAACGGTATACGCGTCTGTTGTCTGTCTATACATATTTCTCTCAAAAGGGCTAGCGCTTAAAAACAGAACAATATTAAAATCATTTTAAAATCATTACAAAAAGAACTTTAAAAATTCAGAACATTTGTACGGAATTCTCTTTTCCCAAAGTGAAGATGCCTCACCCACTCTCCTGGGCTTCTACAAGTTACTCAAAATGGCCTTACTGTTCTCTGTCTTTGACCCAAATTGAAGAAGGGCATCATACTAGTTTTTCAAAGGAATGTTAATTGTTTAGTTGTCTTGTTATTTTTTTAACACTCACTGACAGAGTCCACTGGAATTGGGGCAGCGTAGGAAGGCTGAAAATTGAATGTATTACTGTAAAGCAGATAGTAATCACAGAATAAAATGTAGGCTGTAGGCAAAAGCTTTCCTAAACAGGAAGGTCCTTAACCCCCTAGCCCAGTGATGGCGAACCTTTTAGAGACCGAGTGCCCAAACTGCAACCCAAAACCCACTTATGCATCGTCGGGTGCCGGGTGGGTGTGGCCCATTGGCTGGGCGTGGCTGCAGTGGTAACGGCAGACTGGGTGGGACTAAAAAGTTCAATCAATCAATTCTAACTTTGCAACATCTTTTTTTTCCCCGCGAGAAGTTGAAATTGACTGATTAATTGAACCTTTTTTTTTTTTTTTACACGGCGGTGGAGGCCTAAAGCGAAAAGGTTTTATAAAACTGAGCTGAAGGCCTAGGACTGGAGCGACGGCGCGCGTGCCCACAGAGAGGGCTCTGAGTGCCACCTCTGGCACCCGTGCCATAGGTTCGCCACCACAGCCCCTAGCAAAACATGTCCTAAAAAATGCAACTGTGTCTCTGAGGGAAGAGGGTCCCGTCATTTAGGAGTAGTTACTGATACATTATTTTCCCTTTATTTCCACAATAGTTGGAGACACAGGAAGGGCCAAATCCATCAGATCTTAAGCTGCAGAAACACCGACATGGGCAAAGCAGCCTGTGTGAAGAGAGCGTAGAAGGTGGTCTTGATGGAAAGAGGGCAAGGCAATGATCATACAAACTTAGCTTAAGGTAAGATGGAGATATATAAGATCTTTAAAACAGGCACCTCCCTAATTCACCTGAAGACAAAAGAAGAACAAGGAGAAGCACATTCAATCTTGCAAGTTTCTGTTTCTGTTGTATAACCATTCTAATAAAAATAGTTTTAGGCTTAAGTGGCATCTCTTTGTTGATCTGGACCAGAGGTGTCAAACTCAATTTCATTGAGGGCCGCATCAGCATTGTGGTTGCCCTCGGGGGGGCCGGGTGGATGTGGTCAGGGTGGGTGTGGCTTACTGGGTGGGCGTGGATGGAGTGGGTGTGGCCTACTGGGTGGGCATGGCCAGCTCTACATCGTTCGCGTCAAGGGTGCCTGTGGGGGCCTGGGCAGGAGTGGGACAGATCTGAGGGTCTCTGGAAGAAGGGAGTGGGACAGGGGCAAGCGCCAAGGCATGGTCCACCTCCCCAGCATGCACCCAGGGGGCGGGGCTGACGTGGCAGGGGCTGGTTCCTCACTGTTTCTAGACGGCTTTGTGGAGCTAAGACTGAATGCATTTCAGCATAGATGGCCACCACAAAATTGTACATTGGCTCCCGGCCGGCCTGGGCCAGGGCCAAGGCAGCGGGGGCCGTTCCCTCACTGTTTTCAGGATGGCTTCGCGGGCCACATGAAACCACTTCGCGGGCTGCATCCGGCCCCCGGGCCTTGTGTTTGACATGTCTGATCTGGACTATCTTATAAGGCTGACACTCTACAATGTCTTAGTCATGAAGAACCTTCTGAACTGTGCTGGAAATAAACTGGTTGTCAACGCTGCAAATACAATCTTGACAGGGCAATGTGATCTGGCTGCCGAAAATCTATTAAAATTCTCACAGGTACAGTTTGAACCATCATAGTTTACAAAGGTTCTTCTAAGATGGTTGGCCACTTTTTTCACTGCTGCTGTAACTTTGAACAGTCACTAAACAAATGGTTTTAAGTGGAAGACTACCTATAACAGGGGTAGGCAACCTTGGCTCTTTTTATGACTCGTGGACTTTAACTCCCAGAATTCCTGAGCCAGCCTGAAGTCCATTGTAGAGCCAAGGTTGCCTACCCCTGACCTATAATATGGGAAACCTGAATGCTCTACAGTACTAGTCTTAAAAGGAATTAACCATCATTGTTGATCTTCAAGGAACAGTTCCAATTTCCTGCATAAATAATCAACTGCTACAATAAAAACTATTTCAGATCCAAATCCAGGTCTGAAGCTAAATTAATATAGATCCAAAGAATCCCAACTCAAGAATCTAAGATGCCACCAAATGCTAAAGCACCTGGCTCAAGAACAAAAAAATGAAGATGTCTATGGAAATTCCCAGTCATCCAGGTTATGGTTGTCCCAAAGGTGCTTTTCTCAAAAGGCAACTGGACTTTGTTTTTCCTTGAAGATGTTTTGCTTCTCGTCCAAGAAGTTTCTTCAGTTCTGGTTCCCTTTTGAAAAAGCACCTTTGAGACAGTAAATTGAAGACTGCCGAAAAACTTTCCCAATACTTTTTAGACCTCACAATCTTTTTTATTAAAAGATTTCCCAGTATTTGCATTATTATTACCGTAGGTCCTACACCCTCTCTATCAGGCCTCTCCTTACACTGATCAATCAGGAACAGACATATGTACAGGTAGTCCTTAAGTTACAAGCCTTTCCATTACGGTCATAAATCGGAGCCTGTCCCCATTACAGTCATAAATCATAATATTCATTTTTTTACCATTTTTTGCAGTGGTCATTAAGTAATAAAATGAGTGCTGCAATTGTTAAGCAATCACCACAGTCATTAAGTGAACCCACTGTTCACTACGGAACAGTTTTGCTGAAAAATGGAAGTGCTGGTTTTCAGCAAAACTGTTTATAAAATGCAGTCACATGACCGTGGATGCTGCAAACAGCAGTAAATGTGGCCATGTTGCCAGCACCCAAAGTGCAGTCATGTGACCAGGGAAGACCTGTCAGAACTTCAGATCCAGGTCATAAGTCCCCTTTTTCAGATAGGTCATAACTTCAAATGATCTCTAGGTGACCGATCGTAAGAGAACGTCTGTGTGTACATATTGGTCTCAAACAACTAAGAACCCTCTCTACAACTTCAAACTGTACAAACAAAAATGTATCCATAACAAAACAGCAAGAAGAAACGGCGGGTATTTCATTAGACAAAGCATCTGAATTCATTTCTCCAAGCAATAATCAGTTTGTGTAAATAAGTGACAGCCTGTGTATACATAGCTTATTCAAGTATTATTTTGTCGGACTGAAAAAAAAAATTAGGTACTAGCACATCACATGTAAATTTCACTAATACGGTGATTTCGAAAACAACTATCACGAGGCAGAGCAAAATATTTGACTACATTAAGCTTCTACAGAATTTTTTTGAAAGAAAATATAATTGAATTATTGTTTGATTCACAAAATGTTTAATTTAATTTTTCCTAGAGCAATTAATACAAAAAGGGCATAAGAAGGCCCGGCTATCTGGAATCAGCAGAGCAAAAATGATTCAAAATCACCACCAAAAATAGTAACATAAAACAAGTTTTCCTTTAATTCATACATTTTCTGAACAAGCGTGCCAATTGATTTCTATAACAAAGCATTTTGTTTTGTTAACTGAACAGAGCTGATACAGTATAGTATACAGTAAGCAGCATATTTCAGATTAAGTCTA